GGTTGAGCTGATAGTTAAATTAGAGACCCTGACGTGGGCACCCTTGGTGGCCAGAGGAACGCGATGAAGGCCAGAGTGGCTGGAGTAAGGAGGGCAGGCAAAGGTGGTGGGAGACGAGGTCAGACATCTGTGAGGAGAGCAGAGAGCACCCTGCACCGGCTCGGCAGGCCAAGGCAAAGAGCTGCGTTATAACCCAGCCAATGAGCCCTGAGGGCAGGTGCTCTCTTCCCTCTTCCCAAGGTAAAACCTACCTGTTGGGTGTTTAATAACACCATCACTGTAGAGCAGCCCTGCCTCATTCTAATTCACCTCAGCATCTGAGAGAGGTCTTAAGTTAGTCCTCTAAACATTATCAGTGCCTACAGCCCCGAGTGTAGACACAGACACTGCCTAATAAATGTCTGGAAGTGAATTGAATGGGGATTCGGGGCAGGGCAAGCTACATTCAGAAATAAAGTGTAAACATTTTAAAACTTTTACAGACATTTGAAATTGCTGTGATATTTAAGCAGCATTTCATTTTTTTCAGGAATTTACCTTTTTAAAAAGTTGATGTTGATGCCAGCAGGTGGTGTGGAGGTCAAAGTGTTGGACTCCCACATAGCAGATTTCAGTTCAAGCTCTGGACCCGGTGGCTTGAAATTCACACAGGATGTGTGTTTGTGCATGCCTGAAATCCCAAGAGGAGAATGGAGGAGAAGGGACTGTGGCAAGCTGGGGGTGATTTCTCACTTTTTCTGTCTCTCTCTCTCTCTCTGGCTCTCTGGCCAGGGCACACGCACTATAGCAAAAAAAACCCTCCCCAAATATATATTTTTATATATATACACACACATATAAATAATATTATAAACATTATATGTTATATACATATGTAATATATACATATTGTGTGTATCTGTCTGCCTAGTATCTATATTTTATATATGCGTGTATATAATATGTACATATATAAAATATTCATGTGTGCATAGTATCTATATTTTATATATACGTGTATATAATATGTACATATATAAAATATTACGTGTGTGTGTGTGTGTCTGTATATTATTTGTTTCTTTCCAAGAGAGAAATATAGGCACAGCCGGGCCAGCAGGTGGAGCAATGGTTAAGGCACTAGATGCTGGACTCCCACATGGTCAACCATGGTTTGAGAGCTGGACCTGATGGCTTGCTCTCTCACTTTCCTTACTCTCTCTCTCTCTGTCTTTCTCTGGTGAGCACACGTGCCCTGGAGCAAAATTTAAAAGTAATCATAGTGATTTAAAAATTAAATGCATAATTCTTAATTTAGAAAGAGATAGGCACCTCAGCAGTCTTTCCAGTGTTAGTGTGCTGTCTAGGCGGACACTCGGCAGCGCTTTTACGCCATAATCCACTCCCAGTCTCAGCGGGCGCAGACCACTGTCACACGTGCTCAGGGAAGTGTGGAGACGTGAGCCGGAACCTGCCACGTGGGTCCAGTCGCATTATCGCCACTGTGCCACCACTTGGCCCCCTCGAATAATTTAATTTTATGATGTTTACTAAAATGTCAATCTGAGATGGATTGTGAATTAAAAACAAGACAAAACAAAACTGATCCTATAGCCCACGTAGTTTGAGAAGTGCTGATTGAGGGCAACAGACAATGTCACCGCCTTTTCAAGTGAGGGGAGGGTGTGCCGTGGCATCCCACAGCAGATGAAAGGCATCTGGGGAAGCAGGGCCGGCTTCTGCTCTGTCCGTCCTGGCCTGCTCCCTTCACAGGTGGGTGGGGAGCAGGGACTCTGCTGTAGATGTCGCCTCCACGAGCATCTCTCTGAAAAGTGACAGGAGTGGGGATTGCTGGAGTCCGTATTACGGGGACAATATGCCACTGAGCTTGAGTGGGTAGTGGGAAACTTGTATGTTCAATGGACTAACTTTGTCTATGTCTCCTTTCAAGGAATGTTCCGTGAGCCGCTCCCCCTGGGTAATTTGAAATTGTTTTGCCATTTTAGAAGAGCCATAAAGTTTGGAGTTGGAAGGCACTTCTGAGACTATTCGGTTCCATTCCCTCATTTTACAGATGAAGTAATGGACATCTTAAGGATATCTTTGGATAGGAGAAGGTCTCATAGGGTGCAGAAAGCCCAGGACAAAGGGTTGCCAACCTTTTTACGATGGACTGAGCTGAGATGGCGGGTGGTTTTCCACAATGCTCACTTTTCAGTGCTGTGATGTTGATCAACTCTCTTCACAAATCCACATCTCTGTGAAACTGGAGCTTGTAAACCCATGTTTAGCATCATGTTTTGACATAAACCAAAGTCCTGTTTAGTTGTAAATTTAGGCTGGAAAAATATGATGGAATGCTACAGTAGTTTTCCTTAGATTGCACATCTGTCGTTGAAATATTTACCAAGGGACCAGCAGTTAGCATAATGGCTATGTCACTGGACTCCCATGTAGTAGACGATGGTTTGAGTCCCGGACCCGGTGGCTTAAACTCAGGCCAGGCATGTGTGCGTGCTTGCCCAAGATCCCGAGAGGAGAATGGAGGAGAAGGGATTGTGGCATGGCCATCCCCGTCGGGTGTGTGGGGGGGTGATTTCTCGCTTTCTGTCTCTCTGTCTCTCTCTGTATTTCTGGCGAGCGCATACGCCCTATAGCAAAAAACTTCTAAAAAAAAAATGAAGAAGAAGAAAGAAAGAAAGAAAGAAAAAAAGAAGTATTTACCAAGAAACCTTCACACAGGAAACTAAGCAACTAGTGGACTGGCCAGCGTCCCTTCCTGACCTACCTCCAGTAGGATCGTATGAGCATGTAACTTTACTATTGAGGATTTTCAAGGCTTAGTGGGTATGAAGATGAAATTTGGGGACAGGAAAGTCAGGGGCTGAGTTGGGTGAATGATACAATGGGCTTAATGTGCTCCTCCTCAAAGCGGAGGTGGTAGTACCTCACGATAGCCGTGTGAGTTCAAAAGCAATTAGCATGATCCTGGCAGCAAGTGGGCCGGCAAGTGTGGTGGTGCTGAATTCCCTCGTGGTCAACCACAGTTTGAGTCCCAGACCCAGTGGCTTGAAAATCACACTGGGCATGTGTATGTGCATGCCCAAAATCCCTAGAGGAGACTGGAGCAGAAGGGACTGTGACGAGGCCATCCCCCCTGAGGGATGACTTCTCACTTTTCCTCTCTCTGTCTGTCTGTTGAGCACAAACACCCTATGGCAAAAGAAAAAAATTCGAGGTAAATAGACAAGTACTGGTGCTTATCTTACAAACATGACAGTGGAGCTGGAGGCAGATGGGTACCTGATGGGAGGAAGGGCTCTTTGTCTAGAGGGTCTAGTGACAAGGCAGGCTACTCAGCTGAGTCCGGCGACAGGACCCTCTGCTCCTCAGATACGGCAACAGCGTTTACCGGAGGTAGAACGGGGCATGGGGCCCATCTCATTGGCCAGATGGGCTTCCTCCCCACCAGGGAATCGAACTGGGGAAACCTGAGAGTAAGGCCCGAGCTCTGAGGCTGTAGGCCTCCATGCCAGGGGCCCATCAGTGGTGAAGAGGGAGGCAGGTGTCCCCGTTGACGTAGGAACATTGGGTGCAGGGGTAACCAGGCCCAGCACCTGCAGGGGACATGAGTTCTTGTCTCACGCCCAAGAAGAATTAGAGACGTGGACACGGAGAGGGGACAGCAAGCAGAGTTCATGAAGCGGGAGAAGGAAGAGCAAAA